AAAATCTGACAGGCATTCTAATCCCTCTCCACTCTGTCCAAAACTAAAAAAAACAGTTTTGCCTGTAGTTATACTTTAAGTCCGTCCAAGTTTTATCCCGTGTGGAGCCCTGATGAAGGGGAAGTAGTGTTTCTTCCAAAATGCATTGGCTGTTTTTAAGACTTGTTTACCAACAATTAAAATGTTCTTGGACTCTTTCAGCAATTTCAGCAAAATGGACTCGACGGCTGCTTCATTTTTTCACTTTGATTTGCGGGGTGTCTTTTGTGTTTTTGCCACGTTTTCATGCTTTTGCCTCGTTTTTGATGTGTTCCCCATTTTATGCGCAAAGCGCATCAATAATGTGCATGCAAAAACGTGTGTGGAAAAGATGCACTGCAAAACAAAAAATATGCAAGCAACATTGGCGTGAACCAGGCCTTAAAAACACATAAAAAATGCATGTATTGCATTTTTAATGCCTTTTGCTTTTTTATTCTGCTCAGCAACAAGTTGGCAAAAAAAAAATAAAAGATAAAAAATATCAAAGCAAAATGCACTGCACAACAGACAAAACGCAGACTGCACTGATGTGAACTATACCTGCAATGCATTGGAAACCCATCAAAAATGCACACGTGTTGCATTTTGATGCGCTTTGAGTCACATGACCTAAACGTGGCAAAATTGCAGGTAAAATCATACGTTTTTGGTGGCCATTATCGGCACCATTTTTCCCTGTCGGCAAAATGCTGATAACACTTTTTTCGACTGATACATTTCTAATAGTGTACTACCAGCTTTAATTTTGCTACACACGGCAGGCTTTGGGCTCTTGCCCCCAGCATCACAGGCGCGAGCGTTCTCTAATTCAAAAGCTGCGCATGCGCAGTGCACACTTCTCTCTCCCCCTATCCCTGAGATCAGTGTTGAACTCTCGAGATGCTGGGAATGTCCTTTCCATGTCCTGGAAATAAGTCAAGACATAGATATGTAAACATTGGGAAGATTTTGGCCAGGCTTCATGGGTGACAGAAAAGGCCTGCAGTTTTGGCGTTTGCAATAAACAATATTTTTACAAATGGCACAGTGCAGATTTACACTGCTGGTACCCTTTGTCTGGATGGGCCAGTTGATATAAAAGGTGAACGTAGCCTTTCACTTTTGTTAGCCCGTGGGCAATATGCAGGCATTCATGAGCACGTTAAATATAGAAGGATACATTCCTGCTTATTCCAAGCATTGGTGTTCTATTTCCTACTCGCCCAGCAGGATGTATATACATTAAAAGCTGATTTACATACTGATTTAGTGCTCTCAAATGAAAGGTGCTATTCAGGTTGCAGCCATTCAGTAGCTTGTCACATTATACCAGCAAGACTTTAAATAGACTAGTTCAAGAGATTACATATCATGCAAGTTTATGTGCTACAAGAAAGCCCTCTCCCAATGAAACTACCAAGCCAGCTATTAATTTGGCAAGGTATTGCCTTGTATTCATTGAATATGTTGCTTTTAAGTTCAAAATCAGTAAAATACCCAAGCAACTGTCCCAAGACATCTAGCTGTTCTACATAGGTTCATCCGGGGACAAAGGCGTTTCCAGGTTTTCATGCACAAAACTCTGTAGCTGCTCTTCTCAGTTACTTCTTAGCGTTCCTTTCTATGATGTGTTCAAAAAAAATAAACACATCTTGGCTGTTATTTAGGCCCCATTCACAAGAATGAAAGTGTCATACAAGCACATCAACACATGGGGAAAAAGCTGCGAATGGCACCTTTAAGAATATGTAAACCCAACATTTTATATTCCTGATATGTGCCTGCTGTACCATGTACTTGTCTGAAAAAGTATTCTGTTCTCTTTGTATTGCTTCCTTTCTGTGAAATCACTGGTGTTCCTGCAAGTCCCTCTGCTTTCCTGTTGAAAACGGACCAGTCTAGGCATGATAGCACAGCATGGTCAGTTTTCTGGCTGTGCTGGGAGCTAATGTAATGATCAGGTTTGAGCTGACAACCCCCCCCCCCCCCCACCTGCACAGTGATTTACTGGGAAGATCAGTGTACTGTTGTTTGTCCTTTCCCAGCTCTTTATGCTTTTTATGCAGCTGAGAACAGAGAGTATGTGATCACTAATAAAAAAGGGGAAGAAAAAGTATAATGTTTTTTATATCTTTACACAATAGTTTATCCATTCATTATTTTAAACTGAATGGGTTTTTTTTTTACAAGATTATTATTATTATTATTATACAGTATTTATAAAGTGCCAATGGTTCGCTCAGCGCTGTACATTACAAAGGGGGACAGAACACGTGACAGAACAATACCAATACAATGCAAAACATGAGGGGATCGAGGGCCCTGCTCTTTCGAGCTTACAATCTAGGAGGAAGGGGATAGTGGTACAGGAGGAGATAGCTGTGGGGGATGGAGTGATAGGAAGAGTGGAGGAGGTCGGCAGGTTAGCAGGGGGTGGGGTAGACTTCCCTGAAGAGATGGGTTTTCAGGGTGCGCCTAAAGGAGAGGAGAGTAGGTGATAATCTGATGGGTTGGGGCAGGGAGTTCCAGAGGATGAGTGACACCCTGGAGAAGTCCTGGAGGCGGGCATGGGAGGAGGAGACCAGGGAACTAGAGAGAAGGAGGTCTTGTGAGGAGCGGAGTGTGCGTGCTGGGCGGTACTTGGATATTAAGTCAGTGATGTAGTACGGGGCAGGATGGTGGACGGCTTTGTACGTCAATGTTAGGATTTTGAATTTGATCCGTTGCGCAATCGGAAGCCAGTGGAGGGATTGGCAGAGGGGGGTGGCGGAGATGGAGCGGTTGGAAAGGTGAATGAGTCTGGCAACCATATTCAGGATCGACTGAAGCGGGGATAGCCAGCGGCGAGGCAGGCCAGTGAGGAGGGAGTTGCAGTAGTCGAGTCGTGATATGATGAGGGAGTGGATGAGCTGTTTAGTGGTTTCTGGGGTTAGGAACGTGCAGATTTTGGCGATGTTGCGGAGGTGGAGTCTGCACGAGTTTGTTAAAGATTGGACTTGGGGCTGGAAGGATAGGTTGGAGTCCAGAATGACACCAAGTACTCTGGCCTGCGGGGCGGGTTTGATGGTGGCGTTGTTGGATGTGACGGAGAAGTCAATGGGGGGTGTTGTCCGGGCTGGGGGGAAGACAAGAAACTCGGGTTTACATATACTTTAATGAAGGGAGATAGGTAAAGTGAGTGATTGACTATGCCATTATTGCACCACATCCCTTTGAACATAGAAAAAGAACCAGTGAAAGTGGGACTTTAACGGTGCGCAATATGTGCAATTGTAGACTCAAAAAATATATAAAATAAAATAAATATTTGTACACAATAAAAAATATTTGATTGTTAAAATGAAATACACTCATAGCATGATTGCATGTAATATAGATGGTCTAGCGGTGTGCAGATGTATATTCCTGACGTGTTTTCGCCCAATTTGGGCTTCTTCAGCTAGTATTAACGTACGTTTGGATTGGGAAACCAGTATAGATATCAGGATGATGCTGTCAAGACTCAGGTTTCCATGTGATCACAGAGGGTATAAAAGGACAAAAAAAGGTGTACAATTCAACAAAATCACACTAGGGCCCCAAGATATCCTTGGTGGCAGGGCCGACTTTATAAATGCAGTAAGTAAGTAATAAGTGTGTGCTCACAAGAAAAGCCGCCACTGGTTTGGCAATTCAAACTTATGTTAAAGTGATAGTAAAGACTTACAGTGGTTTTGCACAGAGTAGCCTGGATCCACCTCTTCTTGGGTCCAGTGATCCTGGCCCCTCCCTCCTATCGGTGCCCCCACAGCAAGCAGCTTGCTATGGGGACACCCGCTGCTCCATGTGTCCATGTGCCTCTCTTCTCATTGGCTCACTGGCTGTGATTGACTTGATCCATTGGCTCAGCCAATGAGGAGAGGGAGTCCTGAGATAGCCGAGACTTCAGTGCGCATCGTTGGATCCAGAGGGGGCTTAGGTGAGTATTGGGGGGGCTGCTGCACAGAGCAGGTTTTTTACCTTCATGCATAGCATGTGAGAAGGTAAAAAACCTTAAGCCTTTAGAACCACTTTAAATCAAAGGAGTACTAGTGGCTGTTTTCTCTCCCCTGAAGAAGCCTGAATTGGGCAAAACATGTCAGAAATATACATCTGCACACCTCTAGACATCTATATTTTATGTGATCAAAACCACGTGGCTGACCTGCGTTTTTACTGCCACTCAACCATTCCCCCTTTAGCTGTAAGGGCCGCGGTCATGGCAGGAATTGTATCCCATGCCGTTTTTGGAGGCCGGTAGTGCCAGTTCAAGTAAATCAGGCCGTGCTGCAACCACCCCGCAACCTTGTGCAATGCATGTGGTTGCTGCTCAGTAGTCTGGCATTTTTAGGAGGTAAAAACAGAAGGTGAGAAGGCAATGCCACGTCTCCTCACTGCCTGTCAAATGCTCTCTGAAGAGCAATCGGATTTTCGAGTGCAGTGCAAGTTTTAAATGAGGCCTAACTCACGATCGTTGAAAGCACTACCGATTTTAAACTCCAAGCCTTCTCGCCTTATTAAATGTCAAATAAGAATGTTACACCTTATATGTTACACAATCCGTCATAGCAGTCACTAGAGGAAAAAGGGCCAGAAAAAGGTGAAACATGCACAAAAGAGAATTGCTCTTAATTTGTTCTGCAGTGGTTTAGTAAATTACCCCCGTATACCCAACGAATGAAGTATTTCCAAGTAGTCTCATAGTCTCACATCTTGTACAGAGGGAATGTATTGGCAGCAGAATGAGGTTAGAATATTTCTGTTGCTGCTTCTCAGACTGAGCTCCAGATTTCATGCATTTAATTATGTATACGTCTTCTTTACCACCAGAGAGAGCTTTAAAAGCTATTGATTAAAATACTTGGGCATTAAGCAGTGTGGTTCCCAAGCTGTTAGTAATGTGATGTCTGTGTATAGTTGTGTGTTTTGTCCACCTGTAACTGAATCCTTTATCTTTCCAGACAGTTCCGTTCTGTGGTCACATAAAAGGTGGCATGAGGCCGGGGAAGAAGATCCTCATTATGGGAATTGTCGGCATGAACCCAGAGAGGTGTGAAAGCCATGTTTGGATACACTTATCGATCTGTTCCAATATAGCCTTGATTAGTGCCTGCTAGTACTGCTGTGTGCTGCTTTTTGTTTACCTTTGCTAAAAATCTAGTATTTTTGTATTTTATTAGGCTGAAAAAAGACACAAGCCCATAGAGTTCAAGCAATACAAAATAAACAGAAAACCTTTATATATAAAATACTATACCCACTGTTGATCCTTAGAAAGGCAATGAAAACTCTTGGGCTCAGTTCGCACTATTGCGGGTTGTGTGGCCCGTGTTTGCTCGGGTACAGCAGCCCATTAATTTGAATGATCTGCTGTGCTCGCGTTTCTCGCACAAAAAACGTTCATGCAATCATGCTGCAGGCTGAGATGCGTGGGGGTGCCGTTCCAAATGAATGGCAGCCATGCGCGTCTCGTAAGAGCAGTGCGATTCGGCTGCGGGTGAATGCGGGTGCAGGACCAGATGCAATTCCTGCAACCAGCCTGCATAGTGTTAACCGAACCTTAGGCCACTTGGCCGATTACTTGCGTGCCCCTTACAGGGTGATGTTTTGCCAGAAGGGGATGTACAGGTGTTGACAGGAGTATTGGGAGACACATAAATACATTCCAATACAAAACATTACAATAAAGGGACAATATGGGAAATGAAAAGCAAATTCCAAAAAGGTGTAATGAGCTGCAAACAGTAACATAGCATTCCCCCAAAATCAATCTATAGCAAATACACAAGCGAAAAAAAAGTGTCTTCTGGGAGGGGCTACAAGACAGGACCACCATTTTCCCACAAAAAAGTGACACCACATTATCTCATCAAGGGAAGGGGGGGGGGGCATTTCTTACATACAGTGGGGCAAAAAAGTATTTAGTCAGCCACCAATTGTGCAAGTTCTCCCACCTAAAAAGATGAGAGAGGCCTGTAATTGGCATCATAGGTTGACCTCAACTATGAGAGACAAAATGGGAAAAAAAAACAAAAAATCACATTGGCTGATTTGGAAAGAATTTAATTGCAAATTATGGTGGAAAATAAGTATTTGGTCACCTACAAACAAGCAAGATTTCTGGCTCTCACAGACCTGTACTTCTTCTTTAAAAGGCTCCTCTGTCCTGCACTCATTACCTGTATCAATGGCACCTGTTTGAACTTGTTATCAGTATAAAAGACACCTGTCCACAATCTCAAACAATTATACTCCAAACTCCACTATGGTGAAGACCAAAGAGCTGTCGAAGGACACCAGAAACAAAATTGTAGACCTGCACCAGGCTGGGAAGACTGAATCTGCAATAGGCAAGCAGCTTGGTGTGAACAAATCAACTGTGGGAGCAATAATTAGAAAATGGAAGACATACAAGACCACTGATAATCTTCCTCGATCTGGGACTCCACGCAAGATCTCACCCCGTGAGGTCAAAATGATCACAAGAACGGTGTGCAAAAATCCCAGGACCACACGGGGGACCTAGTGAATGACCTGCAGAGAGCTGGGACTATCGTAACAAAGGCTACCATCAGTAACACACTACGCCGCCAGGGACTCAGATCCTGCAGTACCAGACATGTCCCCCTGCTTAAGCCAGTACATGTCCGGGCCCGTCTGAAGTTTGCTAGAGAGCATTTGAATGATCCAGAAGAGGATTGGGAGAATGTCATATGGTCAGATGAAACCAAAATAGAACTGTTTAGTAGAAACACAACTCGTCGTGTTTGGAGGAGAGAGAATGCTGAGTTGCATCCAAAGAACACCAAACCTACTGTGAAGCATGTGGGTGGTATTATCATGCTTTGGGGCTGTTTCTCCACAAAGGGACCAGGACAACTGATCCATGTACAGGACAGAATGAACGTGGCCATGTATCGTGAGATTTTGAGAGCAAACCTCCTTCCATCAGCAAGGGCATTGAAGATGAAATATGGCTGGGTCTTCCAACATGACAATGATCCCAAACATACCGCCTGGGCAACGAAGGAGTGGCTTTGTAAGAAGCATTTCAAGGTCCTGGAGTGGCCTAGCCAGTCTCCAGATCTCAACCCCATGGAAAACCTTTGGAGGGAGTTGAAAGTCCGTGTTGCCCAGCGACAGCCCCAAAACATCACTGCTCTAGAGGAGATCTGCATGGAGGAATGGGCCAACATATCAGCAACAGAGTGTGCCAACCTTGTGAAGACTTACAGGAAACGTTTGTTTGACCTCTGTCATTGCCAACAAAGGATATATAACAAAGTATTGAGATGAACTTTTGATATTGACCAAATACTTATTTTCCACCATAATTTGCAAATAAATTCTTTCCAAATCAGCCAATGTGATTGTCTGGATTTTTTTTTTCTCATTTTGTCTCTCATAGTTGAGGTCTACCTATGATGCCAATTACAGGCCTCTCTCATCTTTTTAAGTGGGAGAACTTGCACAATTGGTGGCTGACTGAATACTTTTTTGCCCCACTGTAGCTACAGTGGTCCAGCTTGAACCAATGTAAATATGTATGTGTCATACTTGTGGGATCCCTATGGAAGCTAAAAATCACTGTACTATGCACTACTGCTACAGTGATCTTCGCTAGCCTTCCATGTTGAGCGTCTGCCCTGCTGACTCCTGCGCATAGGAGATCATGAAGTCACCACCCCCTTTCCACCTCCTCCAATCAGAGAATTCTTTGCATTTACTGAGAAAATGCTAAGTGTTCCCTGAGTGGCACCCGTACTGAGCAGGCGACCTCCTGTGTCAGAATGCAGCAGGACCGTCACTCAGCCCGGGACCTGGAAGCCAGTGGATATCATTGTAGTAGTGGTGCCTACCATAGTGATTTCCAGCTTCCTCATGGATTCCACCGGTATGGCACATACATATTTATATTAGTCCAAGCTGAAAATGTAAAAATTGTCATACCTAAATTTTAGCTTAAAGTGAATATTTTTGCACCAAGCTCACAATATGGACCATTTATTATATACAGTATTTATACATGGTCATAATAGTCCCCTCTTAATCGACTTTTCTCAAAGGAGAAAAAAGTTCAGTTAAGATAATTTTCTCTTATAGTTGAGGTCCTCAAGGTTCACTTACAAACCGGAACATGCAAGGAACTGTTCAGGGGCAGGTTCTTTGCATGTTCCTGTTTTTAAACCATCACTTTGTTAAAGAGAAACTTCATCCCTAGAGGAAAATTCCACTTTTCTGCCTCCTCCTCTCCTCCTCCTCCGATTTTGAGACGTTTCTGCTCCCACTTCCACCTGAATCACCAAGGCAATCCGAGCAGATGTTGGTTCCCACCCCAATTTGCCTGCAGCCTCTTAGGACACTTCACAAGTCCCAGGAGGCTTTGGGACCATTCACAGGGCACAGTGTGTCTCGCTCATGCACATTGGGGAGCTGGCTGTAAAAGCTGCAAGGAGTCACAGCCAGGTTCCCACAGTTAGCATGGGATCGCTGGGGACCCAAAAACTGGCGTAGAACTGGCTCGGGTGATGACAGCGCTGGATCCCTGGACAGGTAAGTATCCTTTTATGAACCACTTGCTGACTGAACTATAGCTGCTGTCATCCAGTTCTGAGAAGGCGTCCATGGATGTCCTCCCAGAACCCCACCCCCTGAGCACCCCGGGACGCACATTGGCCACACCCTGTGTGACAGCTGTGTCCTGTTGACAGATCGTGGGTAAAGGGCCAATCTCAGTGGCCCTTTACAATGCGATCAGCCATGTCAAATCACAACTGATCACATGTAAACAGACTTGTCGGTTATCGGCAGTTCTTTTCTCAAACTCTGTGTCTGTGTGAGAAAAGGAGAGCTGATAATCGGCAAGGTTGTTATTAAATTGTTTACACTGATAATCAGGGCACTGATCACCAGTGCCTTGATTTTAAGTGCAGTCCCATTAGTGCGATCAGTGCAGCTTATAGGTGCTCATCAGTGCAGCCTTATCGGTGCCCATCAGTGCAGCCTCATCAGTGCCCATCAGTGCAGCCTCATCAGTGCCCATCAGTGCAGCCTCATCAGTGCCCATCAGTGCAGCCTCATCAGTGCAGCCTCATCAGTGCAGCCTCATCAGTGCTCATCAGTGCAGCCTCATCAGTGCTCATCAGTGCAGCCTCATCAGTGCTCATCAGTGCAGTTTCATCAGCACCCATTAGTTCAGCCTATCAGTGCCCATTAGTGCAGCCTCATCAGCGCACATCAGTGAAGAAGAAAAATTACTTATTTGCAAAATTTTAAAACAGATACTAAGAAAAAGGTTTTTTTCACAATTTTTGGACTTTTTTCATTTGTTTAGCAAAAAATAAAAAAAACACAATGGGGGTTAAATACCACCAAAAGAAAGCTCTATCTGTCTAAAAAAAATAATACACATTTCATAAGGGTACAATGTTGCATGGCCACGCAATTGTCATTCAAAGTGTGACAATACTGAAAGCTGAAAATTGGCCTGGCCAGGAAGGGGGTGAAAGTGCCCAGTATTGAAGTGGTTAAAAGTCAGCAGCTACGGTATTTATAGCTGCTGACTGTTAATTTTTGTGGGGTGGTGCGACTGACAAACCTCTTTAACTAGATCTGATTAAATTATAAATGCACTAAACACACTTTACCATACACCCCAGAAAATACTGTTACAGCTAAGATAGTACCCTTGGCCAAGTGCTTCTGAAACTTAGAAACGTAGGTTACATTAACTTTGGATAAGTTCATGAAAATAGATGCATTTTAAAGCAAACCTGTGCAGGGCAGAATAGAGGGATTGAAAAAAAGGGGGGGGAGAGAACAATGTTCTTGGACAACTTGCCAGCCAGCTTGCTAACAACCAAATTAACCTGTCTAACAGTATGCGTTTATAACAGGGGTTTAGTTAGCACACATTTGCAAATACATACGTAAGCCACAGAGCCACGACACGGCACCCTGATCATCTGTGGTCCTAACTCTAAAATTTGTGAGTCCCCATAGTAGAGGCACATGCATTTAATGGATAGATCAAGGGCAGGTGGACCTGAG